CCCTTTACACCTGTTGTAAATCCAGTAACATGGTCTTGTGGGTCTGTTGTTCCATCGTACTTAGGTATATCAGGCATTTTGAACTTCTTTGGAATTGGGAGAGGAGCAGCACTTGGCTTCCAAGGCTATTGAGAATACTTATCCATATCTACCCCTTTGATCACGGGCGGCACCCCAGGTATCTGCTCTATGCGGTCACTTTGCTCCTTGAGCTGTTTCTGCAATGTTAGTACTAAATTCTGTAAATTAGAATTACGTGGTTCTCCCTCCTGTGATTCGCTGGGGGTTCCTCCACTACCTGAATTAACGAGTCCGGAATGAGGGTTCTCTAGAGCGTTGTTATTTGGTGTGGGTGTAGGTGGTGCAGCAGGTAATTGGCTAACAAAAGCCTGAAGAGCTTTATTGACTTGAGAGGCAATAAGTTTTTGTAAAGCCTCGTCCATAGTTTCAACATTTTCGAATTGAGCTTGTCCATCTGTATGAGACCCCTCAGGAGTGCCTTCACGAGACCGTCGTGGAGAACCTTGTGGAGAAGGAACTAATGCGTTATTATCCTGCGATCTCCCTGAAGTTGTTGATTTGTTTGATTTTCTTGGTTTCCTTGAGTGTTATCATTGTTATTTGCCATAGTCGATGTAACAAGGAAAGTTAAGCAAAGAGGAAATAGATTATCAGATTCCCGATAACGGAACCAATTTGTTTAACCAAAAAATAGAATTTTAGTCAAAGCTAGAATTTAGAAGAACTCGGGTTACTGATAATCAAAGAAATGAATAAAAGGAAATAATTCTGAGTAGCAATATAATAATCAAGAAAAACAAATGATACCAATGTATATTTCAATAGCTTTTTTGTGTGTACTACAACTGATCATATATCTCCTTTTTATAGGTACCTTTGAGAATGTACGTTATGCCCAAATCATAATGAGGCTATTATGAATAATTAAAGACATTGAATGCTACGTTACACAATCATTACATTGAATATATATATATATTCTTTAACGGACTCAGCATTTAATACCCATTAAATGCTGTATCTGCACGCTTTTTTTATAACCAGATTCATTCCTTCTAACGCCCGGATATAAATGATTTAAATAGGTACGGGCGTCGTGTTACTTATCTGATGTCCCGTGCATCTTCCTCCTTCTTTGCTCGTGTCTGTTTTACAATTCTTGAATCGTGTCTAATTGAGATTCATTGACCATTTGACCAATCCGCGTGTCCTGACACGTCACCATATATATAAAATACAATTTTTCCCAATACAATTGAGTCCATCTTCACAAATCAAATTGTAATGAAAAAAGAATGAAAGAATTAATGGAGTCGTTCTTACAACAACAACGAAGACAACAAACCCAGCGTAATCCTACAGATGGGGTCAGGGGAGGGTAGTATGTACGCAGCCTTACCCCTTCATTGTGAAAGTAGTGAGGCCATTTCTAATAAACCCTGGGCAATTAATGGAGTTGTTCTTGCAAAAGGATATTTCCACTATACCTCAATAGTTGTTTGATTTAGTGCCTTGTATCTCCATCTTTCTTTCTCAACAAAATCAGCATCCAAGAATCTAGCTATAAAACTCCACAACCTATACAAATCTTCAAAATTTGTCATCATCCCAAGTGAAACAGTTATAACTGATACACCACAATTCAATTTCCCCTTCTTATTATCTCTCACTTCACCACTTCTTGTTTCCAAGATTGTCTTTTTTTCATCATCATACATGTTTGAAAACCATATATGCTGCAAAAATGCACAAGAAAGCGATATATTGTTGCGATCCGCTAGCTTCTGTACTAGTGTTGGATCAATCTTTTGACCTTTCCAATCAAACACATTGAATGCCACAGCTGGTCCTCTGTTGAAACTTATCTTTGGTCCATAGATTTTCACTAAAGAAGGATGAATATCTCCAGCATGAGGATGTTGAAGGCGCGATAACGCGTTTATCAGCCAGTTTACAAGGTATCTTATTCTACTACTGATTAATACAAGGCCTAGTTTATCAGCATGATCCAAGCCTCTACATTCTAGCTCATCAGAACTCATACTCGTCTTTGGTTCTAACTTTTTGTATTTGTTAATGTTGGATTTCTTACCCCAGTTTAATATTTCGAACAATGTGAGTATTGGCTTTGGTTCTTCAGACACTTGTTTGACTTCTTGATACTCAGTAGAGTTTTCTTGGTTCACTTCTTGAACTGATTCTGATGAAGAAAAAGAAGCATTTTTATCAAATGGTTTTGTTGCTGGAACAAGACTAATAATTCCCAAGGTTGAGGATGATTTGTTGAGCACTGATATGCTTGAATTTTTCACAAACAGACAGCAAAAACCAGATGGATTTTCACCAAATACTTTGTAAAAAGAGCAAATGAGAAAATCAGGCTGAAATATTGAGAGGCCTAAAGTTTCCATTTCCTTAGGACCTAATGCAGATGCATCAAACAAGACATGCCAACCATTTTCTTGTGCAATATTCATCCATTGATAAGAATATCTTGTGCCTGTTACTTTAGACTGAAGAGGAAAAACAAACAAACCCCTTTTATTTTTAGCATTTTTCTTGACAACTAACATCTTTCTCAGTTTTCTTGAATTTACTCTCAAATTAGGCCATGAGAATTCAGCTGATACTACTCGAGCACCTTTCCTCTTCGCGCTAACTATCATTCCTTCAACAGCTTCATTTTCATAATCATAAGTAGTAACAAGGTTGTGATTAGACTCAAAAGGATAAGAGTCAGCCAATAGTTTAAAAGCAGAAGATTGGTTTGCTGTAAAGACCATAGAATAATCATACTTAGAAATATTCATGTTTTTCATGATTCTTTCCCTCATTTTAGACTCTAACTCTGATTCTTGGCCTCCATATAGCAACTGAGTACTTAAACTTACTGACTTGTATGATATGTTAAAGAAAGGCTCATTGAGGGAAGCAGATTGTTGAGTTGGAGGAGGAGGAGCTGATGACGAAGACGCGATTGAATCATCTATTGAATGATATCCCTTTTGTTGGTAGTAAGAAAAAAGACCATTGCCAATATAATCAAGACAAACATGTTTTGATATAGAAAGATGATAGTATTCTTGTGCTCGGATTTCATCAGCTAGATTAGTTTGGTTGTAGTGTGGATATGCTTGTTTTAAGCTTGTAAACAATTCTAAACATGAAGGCAAACACTCATGGTTAGTGAATTGAGAATTTGGTTGGATAGAAGAAGCCATTGTATCGATGAATTCGCGATGACAAGTGATGATTGTGCTGATTTTAGAGTAGTGATTTTGGTTTCCATGGGAACTTTGGCAGCAACAATTGAAACAACCTTCTCTTGTCATTCTAAGACAAGGTGATTGCATTCTTGATTTAGTATCTTTTGGTCTTTTTGCTGGTTTTTTGGTTGCTGCAGCAAGTGAAAGTGTAAACTAAATTGAGTTATTTAGCCTAGTCTAGAGGGCAAAAGTTAGCACTTTACAAACATGATTGACCATTTCAATCTCAACTTACAATGCCCTCTCAAATGTATTTTCTCATAGGACATTTAGTACTATATTGAAATTTAGACCTGTATTTTCCGGCTATTGGTACTATTTCGTTTTCCGTAGTTTTTTGTTATAAGTGTTGTGATTTTGCTTTGTTGAGCCGATGGTCTTCCAGAAACAACCTCTCTATCTTCACAAAGTAGGGGTAAGCAGTGGCGGAGCCACCTTATAGGAAGGAGTGCCAAATGACACCCCTTCGCAGAAAAAATACTCTGTGTAGGTAGGTAAAGAAAATAAATTTATATGTATGTATACTATGTATTGACTCTCGTTAACTTTCTTGTGTGTTTACTTTTATATAGTTTGACACCCCTTAATAAAAATTATGGCTCCGCCACAGGGGGTAAGGACTGCGTACAGACTACCTCCCAGGCCTCACTTGTGGGAATATACTGGGTATGTTGTTGTTGTATTGAAATTTAGACCTGGTCTTTTATGTGAATAGCCACTACATAGATCATTTAATTTTTCTGATTAAACACTAGAACAAGTCATTAATCCTGCCGATTATATTAATCTTGACATGTTATATGCCTCAAATTTTCCATCAAAACAATCTTAGGAGTTAGGATTGTATTAGAATCCAATAATATGTGGAATTGGCTTTGGAAAACTTAGCTGGAAACGTGACATAAAGAGCTAAAAAACAAGCAGAGAAGGATGAATTAATTATGCTTTTTGTAGTGGCCGGCACTATCTATCATTTTCCATAGAAACTTAACAAGAATGATTTTCTTCTCAATGAATTCTTGGACTTGATTTACGTGGTCAGATTTCACAATTTAATTCAAAGTTTCCAAGATTCTGTGTACTCTAGTTGCTTTCACTCACTATAGTACATGTTTCCCCACCAATAATATCAGTGGTAGCATTTCCTGGAAGTTAAGGCCGGCAACTGGGCCGGGGCCCGCACCGAGATCGGGATTGGGCCGGGCCTGCAGGCTAACCGGGCTGCGACCATTTGGCCCGCATTTGGTGGGCTCATGCTGGTCTCATTGGCCGGTTTTACCATTTAGGACCGTTTGGACGGAGCCCCTTTAGCTCTCCATGGGACCGGACCGGACTCGTCCCATGGAGGGCCAAACGGGCCCAAGGAAATTTTATTTTAAAAAAAAAGAGTCGTTGGCCCAACGGCCAAATGATGAAAAAGTCTTCCAAAAATAGCCATTTAACCCTCCCTCCCCACCTCCCCCCCGCCCCTCCCAACTAATTTTTGACCCCAAATTTTTTATTATTATATTTTTTTTCTTATTTTCTACTATAAATACCCTCTCATTCTTTTATTTTTATTACAAAATCAATATCAATATATCAAAATCTCTCTAATTTTCTTCAATACTTACTACAATTGTTTACTTTATAAAAAAAATAGTGAAAAAATTGTGAGGTTGCTACAATTTATCAAAAAAAAAAATTGTGAAAAAATTGAGTTTGCTACTATTGCTTACTTTATTCAAAATATAGTTAAAAAATATTGGAGGTTGTTAGAATTTGTGAAAATTGTGAAGCTGGTGAATTGGAGTCTTCAAGTCATCAAAAAAAAAAATTCAATTCAAATTAGAAGTTTAAATTTCAATTCAAAAATTAGTATGTAACTTGTATGCAATTTGCAAGTTAAATAGTCCCAACGGCTATTTTTGAAAATTAGCCGTTGGACTAACGACCATATTATATTTGCAAGTTTGTTTTCCATCACAAAAACTTGCAAATTAGGAGTTTAAATTTGAATTCAAAAATCAGTATGTAACTTGTATGCAATTTGCAAGTCAAATTCTATAATAAAATTATGAGGCATTGCCTTAGATGTTTTTTTAACATCTTTTTATCTCTAAGTTGTATTTAATTATTTTTTAAAAAAAACAAATTATTTTAATAGCAGTTTGATCCATTTAGCCCTTTTGGACCGCGGGCGCGACCCGTTTAGCTCGGGACCATGAGCTAATGGCCCGGTCCCGGGCCGATTCCTACAAAGAGCACGTTTAGTCCGATACCGTTTGAACCGTTAATTTAGGGACCAGACCGGAACCAGAATCGTGGCCCGCAAGACCGGCTCGTTTGGCCAGTTTGCAGCCCGGGCCGGCCCACTTACCGGTCTTACTGGAAGTTGAGCGTCTATCGGAAGCAGAGGCTGACCCTGGATTTGAAGGCCGGGAGTGCACTATTGGATTCAATCAAAATCTACTTTGTATAAAGGATGCCTACTACTAATATATCACTATTTTCTAAAGACATATACATGTATACATGATGTTCTTGCCGAACTTTACGGGTGCTAATGATTCCTCTAGGTATAGCATATGTCCGCCTCTGATCAGAAGCAACCTCTCTACCTCACAAAAGCTAGAGGTAAAGTCTACATATATATAACTATCCCCACACTCCATTTGTGGAATTACATTGAAGATGTTGTTTGTATAGCATTTCCAGGAAAAAAGTATCTTTTCTTTTGCCAATATTTCTTTTTTCTTTTGCTGGCATTTACTTCAATATAAGTTTCTTCACAAGTTAGCTGAAACCTTAATTATAACTTCAACTCCTGAAGACCTAGAATGATTAGACCTGAGATACAAAAAGTCAATCAACCACGTCTCAATTCAAGTCAATTAAGGTCGGTAAAATCATGTTGATATGTACCCGAAAAATAGTATTAAAATTAAAAAAATTAAATGGCTGTATCTTTACCCTTGCCGTTTGGGCGGTTGATACTCTGCTAATTTTCATGTACAAACAATAGAGTCTACTGATGACTTGATCAATACAGGAAAAAAATTGTACAAATACACAGCTAAGTATGAGTTGTATCATCCAACTAGTATTTCTCAAAAATATAAAAGCAAGATAATATTGATATCTTGTGAAATGGGAAATTTCGTAGCCAATTGATAGTTCTAATACTACAAAATTAAATTTGAGTTGACTAAGTCAACTAGCTTATTGCACACGGCAAAGATAATAACAGATCTATGGGGTCATGTCTAACTTTTCAATCTCTTTCAAGTCAAAAAAGCAGTTAATCCTATTTGATAAGGAGCCCGAAACTGAAATGATGCCTTTTTTGGCACAAAATACGTTTATATAGTATTAAAAAAAATTATATTTCTACATAAAACACAATGTAATATTGTGTTTTACTTTAACGGAAAGTTAGCCGTTAAAGTTAAACGCAGTATGATACCGCATTTTATTAAAATATTAATTTTTTTAAAGGAAAACGCATTATAATACTGCGTTTAATGAAAACACAGTACTATACTGCGTTTCCCTATAACAAAATATAGGCGGTCCTTCTTCTTCCCCAACTTCACGACAGAACCTCCATTTTCAAAATTACACGCCCCACCACAGCTGGTCCCCCCCCCCCCTCCCCTCCCGAATTAAAAAAAACATTATTGGGCCCCACCCGTCACACAAAAACTGAAGAGTGTAGGTTCCGCATACATCCCAAGCTTTGGATTCCTTCTTTCGGGGTCAAAAATTCGATTTGGATCTATTTCAAAAAATTTAAATCGAGGTATTTCGATTTAGTTTATGTCGAATTTAGTAGATCATATGTATA